TGTGCAAAGGTTGCGAAAAAAGTTACGTAGGTGAAACAGGACGGGGCATTGACATACGCCTAAAAGAACATCGAAGCGATGTCAAATATCATAGAGAGTCGAATGCCATCGTCCTTCATATAGACAATCATTTACCAGACTGGAATAAAACAAGAATATTAGAAAGAAATATAAAAAAGAAGACACGAAAAACGTTAGAAGCCGCTCATATCATCACCCGGGACACATTTAACTCGAGAAGTGGGTTCATTTCATTATCATCCTGGGCAGCAAAACTGGCGGTAGGCTAGGAAATTTTCATGCGCTTCACATTAAGAATTTTAGACGGTTTTTGTATCATTTTTGCGAAGTTTGTATAATTGTGAAACATTGTGAAACACAGTGATCAAGGTCGTATGTGACCGAAAGCTTTGTGTATTTAAAAGTAATTTTTAAAATAAATATCGGTTGGTAATCTTGAGTTTCTTGAGTTGTCGTTATCCAACTGTCATGGATACTTTACATTACGTAGAATAACGGAAATTTCTGAGTATGAGCGGCCGGCCGGCCGTGCGGACGCTTTTGCGAGGCTTATATCTCAGCAACCACTTGACCGATTTACATGCGGTAATTTTTGTAGGGTAGCTTCATTCCTTCTACCAAGTATTGGACTATTCCCGATGCATGTGGGTGACCCCTTATGCACGTGCCACGTGCAAAACGAAGAGGTGTCGGTTTTGTAATTGTTGCAATATCTCGGTAACTACTTGGCCGATTGCGCTGAAAGTTGGCATGTAGGTAGGCACCCACTAGGCACTGCATATCCATGTGCCAGAGTTGGGGTGCTGCTGCACGTGCGCACGTGCAGGAGTCGTTTCCAGATCTCGAGAACGGCTGGACCGATGGCGCTCAAATTTGGTACACAGTTAGGGACCAGTTAGTAGTGTGCCGTGCACAAGTCAGTTGGGACCCATTTTGCACGTGCGCACGTGCAGGGTGCCGCTCCCAGATCTCGAGAGCGGCTGGGCCGATTGTGCTCAAATTTGGCACATCGCTAGAAACCGGTTAGTAGGGTGCCGTGCACAAGTCAGTTGGAGGTACCCCCTCGAAATTTCGCACGTGCAAGACTCACCCCCTCGCTCGCTCCGTTAGTCGCCCCAAAAGGCGCTATACTGGTATAACTTCTCTGGTGTCTCGGATATACATAGCTGTGCTATATTAAAGCAGGAAACTGCTTATTTGGCTTCTGGGAAGGCTCCTTTGGGTCCACGAGTGGCTTACGACCGGCGATCCCTTTTGTTGGCGCTGGTAATCTGTTAATTTCAGTAGCTGTTTGTACTTCATAAACTAAATCATTATTAATGAAGCTCCTGTTGAGCCGCTTCACGCGAAATCTAGGTGAAAGACTGGTATCCGTGGCAGTTAAACCGCCTACGGCAGCTGAAGCAAGGATTGAAACCGTATCTGAATGCAGGAAATGCAGCAAGACGTAGTGTTCATTGTTGACTTTTGGGGGATCTGCAGCAAGTTAACAGTCAACCGAAGCGGTTGAATTGGAAGGTTTGTCGGGGTTCATACTGCTACACCTGCTTTTCGGCGTTATCTCAAATATTTTTGTTTTCTTGGGAATTGCTGCTTTCCATGCACTCTCCTTCTGTTTTAATCGAGCAATTAAGCGTAGTTCTGCTATTGATACTTTCAGTGCTTTTATCGCTTTTATCTTCGTCTCACAAAGTCATTTTGACGCTTCCTTGTTGATCTCATTCATCTGAACTACGCGATCTTTTTTCCTGTCCTTGCGTTCTTACACCATGCTCCGGGTGTTTCCCAGTTATTTTGGTCAGGTGACGCACGCACGTCTGACTCGTGTTTCGCGTGGCCCACATCCCCACTCGTTAGACGCAGGTTAATGGGGTGTGCGGTGACACCGGATCGGGCGCACTGCGGTCCGCGGCGTGTGTTTTACCTGCTATATCGGACCCCGCTGACTGATTACGCTGATGATACGCCCGACTGAAATATGAGGCCAGATTACACAGCGTGGCCCGATCGGGTCGCCGCTGCTCTCCGCTACCGCTGGCTGCTGGGCCGACCCCGTGCGGTGGACTGAGTTGCGGACGACGCCATGACGCGGCCGCTAATTTCACAGCCGATAATTTAGAGCCCCGATAATGGTGATTGTGCGGCCGATTGGCGGCCGGTGGGCCGGTGCTGGGGGCGCTCCGGCAGTCCATCAGTCCATCAGTCCGTCAGACGCGGCGGTGCTCCGTCGCCAGGGTGACCTGGAGGAGCCGCTCTGGGTCCGGCCGGACCGCCCCCTTCAATGGCGGTTCGGCAGTTCACCCGTTGAACTGTGCGGCGGCTGCGTAGCTGGGTCGGTCGCGCTGGCGGCGGCTGCTGCCGGGCGGGGGCGGGGGCGGCGCGGCTGCCAGCTCGCCGCGCTGCTGGCAGGTGGCCATGACCGGGCGCTGCGCCGGAACTGCAGATTGTGTTTCTGCTCAGATTAGACGACGCCGAGGAGTGCCGTCGGAGGAGACGGGCGGGCGTCGGCCTCCCGGCGGACCGGTACCGGCGCGACTGTCACGGCCGCCGGCGGGCCGACAGCTCGACTGACAGCCATCTGCTGTCGGAGACCGATCGGCCCGGCCCGCGGGGGTCGGCCGTCCCTCTCGGTCCGACCGAGAACCGGCCGTGCTCGCTCACTCGGCGGGGAGACCGGCCGGACGGTGCCCGCCGGGTGCCAGGTCACCGGCCGGGAAGTGCGCAGTCGACAGCTCGCTCCGGCGGATGAGTCGGGCTCCGACCCCGCCGGCCGGGGCGTGGCAGTGCCGCTGCCAAATTCACCACCGGATTTCAAACCACACAATGACGGCCGAAACCGCTCGAAACCACAACTCAGCCGAGTTAATGAAGCCGTCACTATAACCGGGCGCAGGGCGACGATCGGGCCTTTCTGGCGCTCGCTCTCACCAATCTCTCTCCGACGCGGCCGCCGCAACGGGCCAAAACGGCGTTTGCCGGGTCCTGGAGCCTGTATCTGAGTGCAGTGCCTTCTCAGACTGCAGAGTGCAGACAGTCAAGTTTTGTCCATAGTCTCCCTAGTTGCTTGGTTCTCCTGGAGCTGGACTAACCGAACCGGTGGGGGGTGTTTCCTGAAATCTGATGAAACGGCACATGTCTACTGGATAATAATCGAAATATTTTGAGGCATATTTGAGGCTCTATAATAGATACATCAATATTTTTTACTGCTACCCTCGAAATATTTTTCGCCAGGACAACTTTTGGTTTTGACGCCGCTTGTAAGCTGATATCACCGTGCCAGCCACGCTGGCTTTTGACCGCGTGACTTTTGCGAACTGCCAAAAACGCTTGGCCTTGCGTGGGGCTATTTGTGCTGTTTTCTCTGACGCAGTCTACAGCTCTCGGGGCTATATTTTCAGCGCTGTATCAGGTGGAAGACAGGCCAGATGGTCCTCAATTATGCATCCGATAACCCAGTGCTAGTGAAGAACGGTTACCTTATGGCTACTGAGCATCGTTTCAATGTTTGACGTGGCTCAACTCACTGGTAGCCTAATTTTAACTGATGTGTAACATTACATTTTGTCATTTTCATATCAATCTGTGTTCATTAGCGTCAGTTCGGGGTTGTTTCTTGATCACCAATAGCTATTGGATCATTTTTTTTTTCGTTTCAGAGTTCTGGAGCGACGGTCGTAGTGTTGAAAAAAGTTTATTTGGATACAATTTTCTCTGATAAAATATAACGAAATCCAGAAGCCTGTTACGTAAAGGGCTTTAGAAGGGCCATAGGGCTTCACGCAGGACTGAAACGAGCGATCTATCGATTACTGGTGAATCCGGGGGGGGGGGGGGTGGGCATTTGGGGCAAATGCCTGCCTCCTAGCACCCGAAAAATGAAAATTTGTCGTTTTTTTCTAGAATAGAAAGAAAACACAATAACGTTTATGAGAACAAGTTTGCTGTGAACTTCACAGGACGTTGAAACGACATACATACGACCTACGACATTGAAATCCGATGAGATATTAAAATTTGGGGAAACTTTCTCGGGGTACACCCCCCCCCCCTCCCGCAACATCCGAGACCGTCTTTCTGCATCCGCCTATGTGAACGATAGTGTTTCTTTTTAGGCCCTTGGTGTTTCTCATCCGTCAGTGCGAACATATTAAGCTATTGATTATTCCGTCCGATTCCTTGAAGTCCGATAATGGTTTTAAAGGCGGTCAGCGTTCCTTTCGGCGCTCATTTGACTTCGAATGAGTTGCCTCTTGGCTGTCATCGAATGTCATCAAATTGAATGCAATGGCGCGTGTGCAAATCCCTACCCCCTTAGATGTGTTCATGCTGTTTTTTTTCGTGTATTTACGTGTGAAAATTAAACGGTTCGCTTTTTATTTAGAAGTTATTTTTCTCTGGTGAGGACTTCACTTATTGTGGTGGCCGTACGAGTTTTTGCGCATCGCAACAAGTAATAATAATTTTCCGACCGGTAATGACATCTCACGGTCATGGGCACCTATCTCCTTGCTTCGTGCTGATTATCAACACCTGCCATTTTTTTTTTTTTACTCTGCGTCGTCTCGTCTCCCCTCGGCCCCGCTGGTCAAACTGGTCGGACTGGTGCCGGCGAGCGTGCGCCCTCTGACGTGCTGTCGCTCTCTTCCGACGATGATCCCGTGACCCGTGCGGTCACGAACCGGTCGTGACGAGCCGCGCCGGCCGGCCAAAGGTCACAGGTCGCGCCGGCCGGCCGTGCTGATGCCGATGGCCAGATTACGGTGCCGCCGGATGCTGCGGTGATTGCCATCTCCCGCGCCCCGGCCGGCCCCAGTCGTTCGGCCGTCGCTGTTGTCACCCCTGACTCCGCCATTGCGCGACCGCGAGTTCGCCGCCCGGCCGCCAGTTGGCAGCACCGTCCGCCGCGCCGGCGAATGAATGAATGCATGTATGAATGAATGAATGGGAGGCGCGCGCTCGAGGTCGCGCCGCGCGGCCGTCGCCAGTCGGGTGAGGCCATCGTTGGGGAGAGGAGGAGCGTCGCGCGCGCGCCGCACAGAGCCGTCCGCAGCCGAGCCGAGGCGAGGGAGGGAGCGGACCGACCTCAAGCGGCAGGTGGTGCGCGCCAGTAGTGAGACGACGCTCCGCTCGGCCGGAGCGCGCCGGCGAAAGCGGCGGAGCAGGCCGCCCCGCATTGATAAGCTGTTGGAAAGCTGGAGGACGCGATGGTGGTCGGTGGTGCGGATATCGGCTGTCGGCCCGTCTCGTAGCCGGTGGGCGCGCCGCGTGACTCGGTGTGACGGTCGGCGAGACGCGAGGAGGCAGGACGTCAGTGCGCGTGCGTGTCTGCGTGGAGGAGCAGCGGCAGTGCCGGGCGGCCGGACGGACGGCGCGGCCCCGATGCTCCGGCTGCTGTGCTCGCTGCGCGCGCCGTATGACCCGCTGGACGAGCGAGAGGAGGAGCTGCCGCCGCCTCCCGCCATGGACAGCAACCCGGGCCGTGAGTACTGAGTACCCAGCGCGCCGCCCCCGCCCCCGCCCCCGCCCCCGCCGGGCGGACGGCGCGGCGGTGGTGGCCGCCTGCTGCGTAGCGCTTGCCTCAGACCGGTTTGGCGGCGCTGGGCTGCCGATTACGTTTTCAGAAGGTGGACGCGCCTTTTTCGGCGCGAGCTGCGTCACGTGACGTCCGACAGCTGCCGGAGCCGACCGGCGGCGGCGGTATCGGCCGGGCCGCCGCCGCCGCCGGACGCGATCCGCTGCTGCCGGCGGCGCCGACGCTGGCTGGCTAACTTTAACCTTTATTGCGGAAACGTGCGATCTGGCGGTGCCGGCGGGAGCGGCGTGCCAGCTCGCCGCTGCCGGGCCTCGGTCCCGGAGACGGAGGGCCCGCCACGGCGGCACAGCGTCACGCGCGCGGGGCGCCGGCGTGGGCGGCCGGCGCCCATCACATCTGGGCGCCGCGCAGCTGGCCGTCTCCGGCGCCCCGCTTCCGGCCGGCTCCGGCGGCAGCGGCGGCCATGTTTCTGGGCGGCGGTATCGGCCGCCAGCCGCCGCCGCCGCCGCCGCCGCGCTGGCCGACGATAAGTGACGCGCTTCTCCAGGGAGCACTGGGCGACTCCGTGGCCGTCACTAGGGGCCGGCGCAGACAAGACTGCCGCCGCCCAAAATGCTGCCAAATTGGTGTGAAAGATGCCCACGGAATGGGGAAAGATAACAACTAGTGTAATTTCTCGTACCTTCCTACTTTCTCATCGTTCATCACTCATTCATTGTTCATTCATCGTTCCATCGTTTTGCAATCCTAAATTTTTATAACCCTTTTCGAGAGAGCTGTGATTTATATTGCAACCTTTCATTTGTAGTTACTTCCTGACATATAAGTCGCTGACGAACGTTATTATGAATTTTGGTCTGAAGATCCTATATGTAGACTATTTGGCGTGGACCACCTTTCGAATTCAGTGTCCAGTCGTCGAGTCAACCATGCGTCTTACTACCACGAAGCCGTGAGAACAAACAAATGCGAATAGAATCAATTCAGCAGTTCACACAAACTTGGCCTTCGATAATCGCCGATCGTGTTGGCTGTGTTCTGGTCGCATGACTAAACCATTTCGCGGAACCGGGGAGTTGACTGGCCGCTCGGTACCACACGCCTGCGCTCTCCGCCAGAGCGGAAAGCGGAACTGGGAAAAGTGAACTTACCCGAGGCTTCGGAGGAAAGCGGCGCGCATGGCGGCGATAATCCCTGCGATGGGATAGACCGCGCTGTGTGCGACGGACGGGGTGGGAAAGGCTGATCGGCGACGGCACCGACGATAGGGTACGGCGAACGCCGATATTGCAGACGGCAGCAGTGTCGACAGTAACGTCACCCAAAGTCGGTACCGACGAACTAAGCGGTGTTTGGATGATGGTGTCCATTGAGCAGATCCATGGCAAGGTGTTCTAGAAGACACTGCTTTTCGAATGGTGAATTGCTCTTTGTGAAATAATGGTACGGATCACATGCGGATCTAAATGATCCGTCGGTGGGGTGTCGAAAGGAGCAACAGCGAACCTCCCTACCGTATGATAGCTTCGAGCGGCTCAGCTTCGATCCGACTCGGCAAACCCTCTCGGAATATGCTCCTGCCGGTCCGTGCTCCCGTCCGTCCGTCTGCCTGTCCGACCAGCCATCCGACCGTCCGTCCCCATCCGATCTGGCTTCGATCACGGGACGCGTCGGGCCACTCTCATAAACCGAAAAGACCCGAGTCGTAGGTCAATTGAAATTACGACGATGCGCTGCTTGTTCTTGGCTTCGCTGGGGCATTCTTGTAAGTGATAAATGTGCTCCCTCTTGAACGAACACGGCTACGATTTCAGTGTTAAGTAAAAGGAGTTCATCTGTGTGGATCCGTAGGTATGTTGCTCCAGCTGCGTGAGACCGTCCTGGGCGTCGGATGGCGTCTGCGTCGCGGGGCGTGCCGGCGGTGACGGCGGCCGTGGCGTCTGTCACCGCTGTCCTGCACCGGTCACCGGTCCGCCCCTCTGCCGCCGTCCACCGGCGACTCTCGGCGCCGCCGGAGAGGTCGTAATTTTCCTGTGTAATTAACTGGCGCTGGCCGCTCGGTTATTGCCGGCCGGCCGGGCTCCTAACGGCGATCGGACCATCGATGTGCGGCTAATCGCTTCCGGGGCGTGCTCGGCTGCGTCGGCCGCAATTATAGCCATCTCGTTGGCGTCATTGGCGGCGCCTTTACAGGACGTCTTACATCAGGGTGGAAGGGGCGCCGGCCGGCCGGCCGCGAGCCGCTCCGCAGCGAGCGGCACTGGCCGGAGCGCGCGGCCAGCAGGTTCCTTGGAAGTGTCTCGCCGTCTCGGATTTTATCGGGGAATTTCAGGCCAAACTTAGTGATGAAGTGGCTCGCATTCATAAATCAGAAAGTTATGTTCGGACGCTTGTTTTTACTCACGAATATCCGGCGTCTGGCGCTCAAGGCTGCTGATTGAGCAGGTTGTGACATGCTATGCCTGTTAGGCATCGCGCCCGGTTTGCTGGACTTCCTGTCAGGAAGATCTGCATACTCTGGCCTTTCAAGGCGCTGATGGATTTTTCGCCATTCCGGCATTCAATTAGTGGGGATTTGAGTGGCGCTGACGTGGTCGGCGGCGGTTCGCGCAGTGCCGGGCCCGACCGGGCCGGTTTCTGCACCGGACGGCGACTGGGGCCTCTCTGTGCGCCAGCTCACAACGGACCGTTCATCGCCAGCATCGTCATGCAGGTGTGATGTTCACTACAGACTTAGACGAGACTTAGCTCGACTTGGACACATTTTAACTTATCTCGGATCTTCATATCGTTTCGGCGATGGTGTGCCTTGTCGTATACCTTGTAGATGCGCCATTTGAAGCCGTGTCGGATCGCCGTTTGTCTGGCGATTTTGTCGTCCTCTTCCGGACAGCGCGATAGCGGACGAAGGAGCGGCCCGAATTTACGGCCTGTTTACCGCCAACTGTTAGCGCGTTGCGTAAAAATTGCCTTCCGCTGCTCGTAACTCCTACTTAAAGGAGCTCGTAAAAGCGCTTAGCTACTGGGTAATTCAATATTACAAGGCGCAACAGAACAGTTTTATCGTAACGTTCAGATATTGCGACATGTAGGTAGTCGACACTAAAACTTCTCAATATCGTAAACCTTGTAGAAGTTCACAGAAACTACTCGCTGTAAGAATACGAATCCTGGTATTATTTATCCAACACTATTTCACCAATATTCTGAGGAAGCAGGCGACAAAAGAATATGCTTTTCAGAGAAGTTTGAAAACAGAAATAAGAAATTTAGTTCGAATGGGTGAATGGGTGGCTGCTGCACTCCGAGCTGGTTCCCGAGAGGACTTGTGCTGAGGAGAGGCTGGGGTGACTCCGAGACGGTCTGCGGCTCTCTGGCGGTCGTCGCCCTCCGTTCGCTGTCACTGAGCGGTTGTGCAATGGCCTGTCGGCCCGAGCGAGCGGGACTGCTCCGAGCTGAGCCGAGCCGAGCGCGCTGTGCGTTTGAGGAGTCACTGCAGCCGACGCACACAGAGGACCGGTTCGGCCGACTGGTGCCGCTATTGTGTGCAAGCTGAGCAGCGTCCGTCTCCGCTGGTGTTTGCCTGCGCTCCGTCCGCTCTGAAGGCACCATCTGTGCTCGCTGAACCGCGCTAGTAGACGGCGCACCCGACACGCATCGCGCTCGGCCGCCTCTGCCGCCTCCATCAGCGGCGCCGGATGCTGCTCGTTGGCGTCATCAGAACGAATGGCGCCGGCCGGGCACGTATTTGGAAGGAAGCGGTGCATTGACGTCTGATGTGTGGCGTGATTGGCGGAGCGGAGCCGCGCCTCGTCAGCGCCGGCGGACCGGTGACTCGGCGACCGCCCGCCGCCGCCGGCGCTGAGTGCCGCTCGCAAATCGGCCGCTCGTGCCCAGAAAGTGGGCCGCCGCGCGCGCCGTGTCGCATTTCCGGTGGATTTTCGCCAATTTGGAGCGGCCGCCTGATGGGCCGTCGGCCGGAAGCTGCCAGTGTCCAATGTCCATTGTCGGCGCTGCAGCGAGTGATACGGCTCGACCGAAATAGCCTCCGCCGCCGCCGCCCCGGCACACGGCTCGGCACGACCGAATTAGTGCTTCGATCTGAAGGCTTATTTGAATCGGTGGCGGCGCGTGGGCGACCGCGTCCGGCGCCGGTGGCCGGCCGCGCCACGGCACGGCACGGCCGGAACTGCGCCACGCCTCGGCCGGCGCGCGGCACATTCGCCGCGCTGTCTTCAGGGCGGCGCGGCGGGCAGCGTCCGTGGCGCCGCTTCCTGCGCCGCGGCCCGGACAGCTGGCGAGTGTGACGGTCGGCGACCGGCGCGGTTTCAGGCGCCGCTGGCCGCCACCGCCCTGCCGCTCACTTGTCTCTGCGGTCAGAGGCGGCAGTGACGACTTCCGCCTAGGTCCTTGTCCTCCAGAGCACGGAGTGTGGGCGAGGCGTCTCCCTGGAACGGCCGCGGCGTGCTGAACACCAATCCTCTCACCAGCCCACACTGGGACTCGACGCTCGCTTTCCTGCGCTGTTTGAAGCCATCATCAAGTGCTGCTCTGTTGAGTCTGGTCGCGTCTCCAGCGTTCAGCTCATGACCAGCGCCCATTTCCGATGAAGCCCCGACGCGGCGCGGCTCGGCGCGGCGTGGGCGTAGCTCGGAGGTCGTCTGCCGGTTGGCTGGGCTCGCCCACGCCTGCGGCTTTCATCGGGAGAGCGGTCTGACACCGCGGTCCGCGGACACCGGGGTCTCAGCGGGCTCGGCACGCGCTCCACCCGACACGCCACCGGCCTTCCGTCGGGCGGGGGCGGCGCGCGGCTGACCTCTCACGCCAGTCGCCCCCGATGTGTCATGTGACACGGAGGCCGGATGGTGACAGCGGGCCGCCGTGCCGATCTCGTGACGGCCGGGTCACAGGGCCGGAAGGAGTGGGCCGATGTCCCCGAGTGTCCG